CACCGTCGCTTACAGGGCCCCACCCACAATAAGCACAAACTACCAAAATTCCAATTAATGATTGTGTATTGTTTCTCAGCTCAAGAGCTTAGTATACAACAATAGGCATAAAATGACATAATAAACATAATAATGAAAATAATAATAATACAACATAATGACAACATAAACATAAGAATAAAATGACAATATGTCTCACTACGCGCTAATCACAATTAAACTGGATACCGGCGAGCAATTACCTCCATTAATCGAAGAAAAGGGTCTTTCACGTTGAGACGTGCGTTAATTGATCTCCACCAAAGCCAGGCGAGGTGAGACAGCATAAGTGAGGTAGTCGTCTTGTTGCTGTTGCGAACGAGACGGCGCTTGGCCTTTTGCCATTCAGTTTCAATCTTTTGCGTGTTGGCGCCTGTCGTAGGATCAACGAAGTCGACACTGTGGTTCACGGTGTGCCAGTCCAAGTTTAGCGGTGTTCCGTTGGCATCCACAAGCCTGGGTATGCACTGGTACGCGGCCCACTCGTCGCTGTACACCGTCGTCCCGGGAAGAATGTGCTGCCGGTCGAAGCGATGGCACAGGCGACAGTCCGATTTCACGAAGGAAGGCCACTTCCGCGGCAGGGTACCTTATGATGTCGGCGATTTCGACAATGCTGGGGTCTATCCGTGGCGTGGTCATGACGACACGCTTCCTGAACTGGTAACAGTGTAGCTTGAATGGCTAACGTTACGGCATTTTATAAGGGTCATGAGGTGAAAGGGGGATAGAGCGCTCTATCGTTGACAGGGCGCCTACGTGATGCAGTATCAGCGGGGAAAGAGGGGGTGGGTCACGGCGCCGACGTGGCGCGGGCATCTGCGGAGAAAGAGTGGATGGTCACGGCCCTATCGCCACGCGAGCACCTGCGGAGAAAGACGGGATGGGCAAAGACGCCTGGAATAAAAAAAAATCATAAAAAACCTTTTTCGACTTCTAACGTTGGTTGACGTGGCGCCGACCCGACGCGACGCGAGTGTCTGCGGAGAAAGAGAGGGCAGGCAAAGACGCCTGGAATAAAAAAACATAAAAAAAACCTTTTTGTACCTCTAACGTTGGTTAACATGGCGCCGACCCGACGCGAGTGTCTGCGGAGAAAGAGGGGGTGGGTTACGGCGCCGACGCGACGCGAGCACATGTGTGAAAATACGGGATAGGCGAAGACCCCTCGAATCGTACAACAACTAGGTCACGTACTCCACTTCGGTGCCCCTCCTTCTCCACAGCAACGGTGACTTGAGCGGGAGTGCGAACGACGTTACGTGATGCTACGTGATGTGACCCACGTATCACGTAAACAGTACACCAACCAGGGCACGTACTCCACCTCGGTGCATTGGGCGTCGACACATGGCCAAACTTGCTCACGTAAACCTCTTAAATTTCCTTATTTGGTGCTCCCTGTCTCGGTCGCAATCCCTATAGGCTTTACGATCGTGATTCTTATGAAATGCCGTAACGTTAGGTGTGCAAAGTACATTGTCACCATTTCAGGAGCCGTCGCGTTATTGGACTGTCGAAGACGCCATCGCTTCGAGCGGCAGTTCGACCTGCAGACAGTCGGGAACAGCACAGAAGCGGCCGCCGACATCCGAGTTATGGGGAATTCGCAAGGACCTCGGCTAAATTATGGTGACCCAGGATGCAGTAAGTCGTCACGTACAATCGCCCCGGCTAAAAAACAAGCAGACCCACACTTCAGGTACAATGGTTGCTGGAAACAGCTAGCTGTCCCAGCTCCGCGGGACACTCACAATGCTGGGTAGACAGGGGCAAGGCTCCTTTTTTTTTTTTTCGCCTCTCGAGACGTACTTGGTACTTGCGCGTCTCAACGTGAATGACCTTTTCCTTCGATTAATGGAGGTGATCGCTCGCCGATATCCCGTTTAGGGATCCCTGCCATATCGTGAGTGATGAGCGTGCAGTGAGACATATTATGCCATTTTATTCTTATGTACCCACCCTATTGTTTTATACTGCGCTCTTGAGCTGAGAAACAATTTGTGCTTATTGTGGGTGGTGCCCTGTAAGCGACGGCGGCTTGTCGGCCGGTTCTTATTTACAAGTACGCGCAAGTCGCGCTTAATTCGCTCCATCTGCTTCGATAAAGCAGCCTTCCAGGCGTACACAGCTGTAGCATATCCGACGTGCCCCGATTAGCCAGCCTTGGAACGCTTATTCATCACAAGTATATACGAGTCCGAACGATATGTCTTGTGCTGACACAGCTAGGGGAAGCGTAGCGTCCCCCGTCGTAGCGCTCGGTCGACGCGACACGATCAGCTGAGAGAAAAAAAAATAGAAAAGTAAGGGGGGGAGGGGGGAAGCGCATCACCTCCTGCGACTTTATTCAGTTTTCCCCGTCATTCCTAATACTGAGACGCGATATCTTAATCGCACAGCTGTGTGCAAGAGAACGCGCCTCGACTTCTGTAATGGGAGGTTCATTCCGTTAGATAAAACGGCCTCTTAATTGCGCAGCAGCGCCGCGCTTGACTTCTGCTAGGCGCGGTTCATTCCGTTAAATAAAATGGCCTCTTAATTGCGCAGCAGCGCCGCGCTCGACTTCTGCTAGGCTCGGTTCATTCCGTTAATTAAAACGGAATTAAAACAGCCTCTTAATTGCACGGCAGCACCACGCTCGACTTCTGCCAGGCTCGGTTCATTCCGTTAATTGAAACGGAATTAAAACGGCTTTTTAATTGCACGACAGCCCCGCGCTCGACTTCTGCTAGGCGCGGTTCCTTCCGTTGATGGAAACGGAATTAAAACGGCCTCTTAATTGCACGGCAGCACCACGCTCGACTTCTGCCAGGCTCGGTTCATTCCGTTAATTGAAACAGAATTGAAACGGCCTCTTAATTGCGCAGCAGCGCCGCGCTCGACTTCTGCTAGGCTCGGTTCATTCTGTTAATTGAAACAGAATTAAAACGGCCTCTTAATTGCGCAGCAGCGCCGCGCTCGACTTCTGCTAGGCTCGGTTCATTCCGTTAATTGAAACAGAATTAAAACGGCCTCTTAATTGCACGGCAGCACCACGCTTGACTTCTGCTAGGCTCGGTTCCTTCTGTTAATTAAAACGGCCTCTTAATTGCACGACAGCACCGCGCTCGACTTCTGCTAGGCTCGGTTCCTTCTGTTACTTAAAACGGCCTCTTAATTGCACGACAGCACCGCGCTCGCCTTCTGCTAGGCTCGGTTCCTTCTGTTAATTAAAACGGCCTCTTAATTGCATGGCAGCACCACGCTCGACTTCTGCTAGGCTCGGTTCATTCCGTTAATTAAAACGGCCAGCGTCGCTCATGCACTCGCCAAATGCACCGCGGATAGCACGAAACTCTTACGGAGAAGCCACAACTACAGCAGAAAAATTTTCAACCAAGAAATGCACCGCGGATAGCACCAAATTCTTACGGAGAAGCCACAACTACAGCAGAAAAATTTTCAGCCAAGAAATGCACCGCGGATAGCACCAAATTCTCACGGAGAAGCCACAACTACAGGAAATAACCTATCTGCCAAATTTAGCGGCAAACTGGCAACAACCACCCTTCCAGTCTGGCGACCACTTATGCAACGCCAAAAGGAACCTCGCCGCGTGAATGAGGTCTGCCTGCGCTAGCGACTGATCGCGCGAAGCCGATCTACACCGCGTCGCTTGTCGCTGTCGCGTGCATTTTCGCGCTTATGAGGTTTGACCTTAACTGTGGCACATACCCACTTCAGGCATAATTCCTCATCGTCGTCAGCCCCTTCATGAACAAATGGCACAAAATTCCTTGCAAGTGTTAAGCGGATACCACGCTTCTCAGAAAAATGACGAAATATAGCAGACCGAATGGCGGCCTACTACCCTAAAATTTTTATTATTAATGCCATAGTGGGTATCAAGCAAGTATGCTTGCAGCAGTTACGCAATGAGTGTTTAATAAAGGCTTCGAAATGCCGCTCTTCTGGCTCTCGCTGTGACTGTGCTGCGCCTCCCGTGCACGCCTGGCGTTTTTTCTGATCGAGTTATTGAACTGTAATCGGCAGGCAAAATGATTGCGATGCGTTTACTAGAGGGTATAATTAAGATTGGACTGATAATTTACTGGCGACAGAATAAACTGCCAAGGAAAGCCAGGTTTACTTATATATATATATATATATATATATATATATATATATATATATATATATATATATATATATATATATATATATATATATATATATATATATATATATATATATATATATATATATATATATATATATATATATATATATATATATATAATATGCGCGTCCAAAAAAAAAAAAACACATCGGCGGCGGCGCGCCGATCAGCTGGCGTCGGCGCCGACCTCACGGCGCACACCTCTACACATGTGATGTGTAAATCAACGTTACCTTCTGTGACGCTACTAGTTGGTGTAAGCATAGAGTTTCTCAAAATTAACTATTGTAGGAAACTCTATGGGTGTAAGTACACTCGCGCGTATACTTACACATCGCGTATACTTACACATCAAAAGTTGGCCGCTTCACGTGCTTCGTGCAGCAACACAAGAACCCACCATCGTCTTCTCGAAAAGTGATCACAGACGTGTTCAGAGCCGTCTTGTTCAATTAGAGGTGCCACACGCAACATTACTAGCGCAAAAACAACGCGAAAGCCACTTACGTTACAAAGCGCCCATCTGCTTTTTGCCCTGACCAATATGGCGGCGAGCCAGCTACAGTCAAGAAGCCTCTTCACTACGGAGAAATGCCCTTCACCATTGCAGAAGACTTCAGCAGTGTGCAAGAAAAAAATTGAAAGAAAAGTAAAGCTTTAAATTGCTGCCGTTATCTAAACTGGTACGTTTATTGTAAATTACATAACATTTTTTATATAAGTGATACTGAATTGCGCATTTTAATTCTATGCCAAATATAGCCGCAACAGTGAGGCGCTTGCCGGAGAAACGGCTAGAGGGCTTGAAAAGTAAGCCATAGTAAGCCTCCTTCCTCGAGGAGGCTTGCATGGCCGTAAAAGAAAAGTGCGACCGAAAGTAATTAAATTCACGTTGTAAACGAAACTGACCATCAGTATCAATTATTGGTTAGCAGCGGGTGAGTCCTCTTTCTAATAATAGCGTATTCTTGGGCGGCGTGAATGACGCCAAAGTAATCCGACTTGATGTCACCGTCGCGTGTCATCCTCGGCTGCTACGGTACTAATAATTGCAATTGCAGGGAATCGGCGACCAACAGGCGGCAATGGAGGGCGCAGAGGTGCTCGTTCGCGTGGCTCCTCCGACTGGACCATTGGACGCTGGCAGGCGCACTTGTCCGTGGGGTGATCCGTCTTCGAGGCCGCAAGAGAACGTCTCCTTCGCGGACGTGATGAGTGAACAGCTTGCCCGTGCCTTGGAGAATGAGGAGTTGGCGACCTCAGTGCAGGGGTGGGTCGTAGTTTCTGTTCGGTGATCCTTCGGCGAGTGACATAGCGCCGTGGAAGGCGTCTATGGACCGCTTGAAGCCCGTAAAAATAGGGTGATCCTGGAGGTTTCGCCTGACCAGTCTGATTTTTCGACAGCATGATTGACGCCAGCGCGCTTCACTTGACGTGGCAGGTGATGTTTACGTACTATGGACGTCAAGTGAAACTCCCCTCCAGTCATCACCATTGACAGGCGTGCGACCGCTTTGACAGCGCTGCGCATATGAGCGCAATATTTGAACACTTTTCATGCTCGACTTCTTTTATTGTATAAGCCGGACAGAAGCAAATGAGGTTGGACAATAACAAAGATATTCAAATTTTAGGGCCTGATTCTGGTGCGCATAGAAGCATCAGACTACGTACAGCAAAGTAATTAAAACGATGTTTCTGGTTCATGGTTCTTGTGCCATGCGCGCGACGTTGCGGTATTTGTTACTTTTGAACACAATCAATCAGCTAGCAAAAATTGTGCGGTAACCGTAACTCACAGTCTTTTGCTTTGCACTATAATAATCGGTCATTCTGGTCAGTACTTTGAATTCGGTCGCAGCACCTTGAGCCAGTGCACAAGCTGTGTAACAAGGCTGCAGCCACCATCCGACACAAGGTGTCGACATGGGCGTATTCTCACCTGGTTGCATTGGTGGCAGTTGCAAGTAATGCCGGTAATGTTATTTTGGCAATTTAGTAGCATATTCATTTTGGACTGTAATAGGTAACATGCTCATGTTAACATTTTTTGGTAACGTGAGGTGTCACTTTACTACTTGCTTTTCATTCCAATTATGTCTTTCACAACACCTGTTTCACATTCCCAGAGATATTCTTGGGTCACGGCGGCGCACTGGTGCCAGCCTGCCAGATGTTAGCAATAAGAGTATCGTCTAATGTCCCTTGAGCTCCTATTTATCGTAGGTGCAGACAACTTCGTTAAAAAGTGATGCATGCTGTCCGACGGCAGCTGCCACTTGAATTCTGTGAGCTGTAGTAATCAGCAAGTTGTCTCTGCAATATTATAGCTCTGTTTATCAGTTCTGTTTTCAAAATAAAAATTGCTTGCAAGATGTCTCTGCAGTATTATAGCTCTGTTTATCAGTTCTGTTTTCAAAATCAAATTTGCTTGTAACTGCTAGTTTATCTTTCTGGTTGTTGAATTTCTGAATGACTGAGGCTTACCTTGAATTTGTTTGCCTAAACAGTGGCAATTTCGTGGGAATAAAGTTGGTTAAATGGGAAGGAATAATTTATGCTACAAATATTTTTTTCCCAGGACTCTGCAATTCAACAGAAGTGCAACAGCTGCACCAATTCTGCCGATTTGATACAATTCCCAATTTTTTCACAGAGCTGCACCAAAACCATGAAATTTGCTGAAATATCGCCACACTGTGCCGAATTGCCCAACCAAGCAAAAATTTTCTCAGTTGCGCTAATTTCAGCTAGAAATGGAGGCCATGTGTATTGCCCACCTGCAGTTTGAATCATCAATTAAAGCAAGCGTGCAGGCTCTAACATTAAATTATGGTAAACTAACCATGCTACCCTTAATTCCATTAGGTCAGGGCACTCGCGAGACGCGATCAACCAGACAAAGTAACGAAGCCGTGCGCCCATTGGTCAGCTGACTGCAACGGATACCTATTGGTGGGAAGATGCAACATCAAGACAAAAATGCATTGCTGTAGCGATGAATGGCTCGCGGGAAATATGAACTTCCTAGTTGGCAAGAGTGGCTATAGCATGTTAGCAACTAGAGCTGGGAGTGCATACCGTGTTTCCTGCGCACGAACAGAGTCGACGTGCGGCGAACGTTGGTCACCATAGCAATGGCACATAAAACATTTTTGTGTCTTGAAGTTGCGTTAGTTGCGTCGTACTAGTGCTAAATAATCGGTGCTGTTGCCGGACCAACGGACATGTGCCGCTGTTACTTTATCTGGTAGAACGCGACTTGCAAGCGAGTCGAGATGTGCCCTAAACCTTGACCCCCCCCCCCCCCCCTTTGTAAAGAAAATGGAGGGGGGAGCGTAGCAGTGTTAGAAAATTTATTGTCCCTGTTCTAATCTGTGCAGAACGCTGCTTAACACTTTCAGGACCAGCCCATAGGGCCATCGGTCGTATACGACCGATGGGTTTTAACGCACTTTCAAACTAAATTTTTTGCGCGTTTTGACATGTAGCGCCATCTGCGTGGTATTTCTAACACCACTCTTCCATTTTTCGAGTAGTTTGCTTTTTTTCCGGGAGGTGGCGGTGGACAATCGCAGTTTCTTTTGGGTGCGGTCGTGTCAGCTGATTGAGAGAATGGCGTCAAGTTCGCAACACGGCGCGCTTGAAAAACGGCCCGGATCTCGCGATTCCGCTGCCTCAACGGCTGATTTCGTTGATAATACGAGCAGCGGAGAGTCAGAAGACGACTTCGGAAGTTCGGATTTCAGTTCGGACAGCGAGTCGGGGGACGATCAGCCTGGAAGTTCAATAAGTGGACCAAGGTTAGTTTCGCTTTCCTTTCAGCTTGCTCTTGAGCATGCTTGCACGCTCGTTAGACGTTCTTATTGTGTTATGTTGATTTGGCAGGGTTTCTACAACGTACGGCAATGACTTCCTGCCACCAGCGCAGCAGCGGATCGTCTTTGCGGCGCGTCGAGCGCCTGGTGTTTACATCACTGACTACGTAGGCGTGGCACTCAGGAGCAGACCAAAAAAATTTCTGACGGCCCTCGACTTCTTCGCTCTTTTTTTCACAACTCAAGTGATCACTATGCTATGTGAAAACTCGAACAAATATGGCTGGACGAAAATACTAGAAAAACCGACGCATGCTCGTCCCAATGGTTCGGGGGAAGAGGTGACCCCGGACGAGATGATGAAATTCATTGGCCTCATAATTTACATGGGCATTGTCAAGGTTCCACGCCTGAAGCTCTACTGGAACAAGGGTGAGCTCTACAGTGACCTGCTTTCACGACGAATAATGCCCAGACGCCGCTTCATAGTGTTGCTCGCTATGCTCCATGTTGCCGACTTGGACGATGCGAGCCAGCTATCGAGAGGAAAACTCCGGTTCGTGTGGTGGCTCATGGAGCATGTGAATCAAGTGTCCGCGAACCTTTTTCAGCCAAATCCTGATCTCTCCGTGGACGAACGAATGGTGAATTCTAAAGGGCGATCGGGAATCAGGTAGTATATGAAAGATAAGGTCACAAAATGGGGCTATAAGCTCTGGGTCCTAGCTGATCCCGGCACCGGATACACGATACGTTTCAGTGTCTATACCAGCAAGCGGGATGAGCTAGGACCTTATGGATTAGCATTTGATGTAGTTTGCCAGCTGTGCGCCGAATATCTTGATCAGGGGTACCGAATATTTATGGATAACTTTTACACGTCGACACATTTGTTCATTCACCTGATTGACCGAAAAACATTGGCTTGCGGTACAACAAGAAAAGACCGGCGAGGATTTCCTGTTGAACTGAAAGACTCACGATGGGAAAAAAAAGCGCGACGTGGGGACGTAAGATGGCTCCGTGATCGGGGTATATTATACCTCCAGTGGAAGGATGGGGACGTAAGATGGCTCCGTGATCGGGGTATATTATACCTCCAGTGGAAGGACCGTCGTGCTGTCAACATGATGAGCACTATTCACACAGCCAATATGACCGTCACAGCAAAAAGAAGGGAAAAAAAGGGAAATACTTGGGCTCAAATTTTTGTACCAAAGCCATTGCTTTTACATGAATACAATGCTGGAATGCTAGGAGTAGATAAATCGGACCAGATGATTGGCTATTACAATGTCCTCATGAGAAGTGTTCGGTGGTGGAAGACACTCTTCTTCTACTGCATTGATATTGCCTCTGTGAATAGTTTCATTTTATTTCAAGCACACCGCGCATCACACCCAGATATCCCCGAACTTGAAAGAAAATCTGAATACGACCACCTGGCATTCAGAGAACTCGTTTGTCAGATCTTCAACATTGATAGTGCCAAGCCAGCACGCACTCCTCCTCCACCCTCCACTAAACGAACGCTCCACAAGCCCGAAAAGGCAGAAAGGTGCAGAAGCTGCAAGCTGTGCTATAACAGCAAGAAAGTTGAACTCAAAACTAATTGTTTTTGCAGAACTTGTGATGTTTACTTGTTTTATACATTGACAAGAAATTGTTTCTTGCAGTGGCATGAGAGCCATCAGCTGTGACGGGCACACGAGTGCTCCGAGTGTGAAGCAGGCTGAGCGAAGGCAGTTGTAGATAGGCGGACCAAAGTTTTATTTTACAGAAAGAAGACGTTTTGCCACTTTTTGTATATGCTGAAATTTTTTTAGTTCACAATTTTACTTGTATATGCATGCCTTTTAAAACTTTTTTACGTTTGTTTTCTGTGACACCTGCTTTTTGACACTTTTTTATTATTATGTATAAACTTTTTCTGTGTAATATTTAGCATGCATCTAAAAGACCACTCAATTACCTTCATTTTGATATATAATACATGAGTATATCTTGTTTATCTGACTTACTAAAAATATTTATCGTAACACTCCTTGTGACTGTCTGATTTTCCCTGGTCCCGAAAGTGTTAAACCACCTTCGTCGCAATACACCGGTGACCTATGAAAAGCGTATTATGATTTGGAAGGGGCTGTTACCACTGCTCACGGGATAGCGAAATTCGTTCAATTACTCATGGGTGTATACTACTGCATAAACCCCCAAACTGCGAAAGTTTTTTGTTTGTCTTTTCGCCGCCCCTACCCCTCAGTTTCACGAATCTCTTGAGTTTCAAGGTTGCCAGCTTGTCATATCTACATTTTTATTCTCAGATTTTGTCAAAGGATTTGACAGACACTGCAAGTGCTAATGTGGACTTTATCATTGATTGCTCAGTGGGGTAGATCAAATACAAGTTTTATTGAAACAGCAATGCTCATGTTTACTCTGCATTATTCAG